GGGGGAATGATGGAAGGAGAGCAGGAGGTGGGGGAATGATGGGAGGAGAGCAGGAGGTGGGGGAATGATGGGAGGAGAGCAGGAGGTGGGGGAATGATGGGAGGAGAGCAGGAGGTGGGGGAATGGAGAAGATGAGGTGGGAAAGAGGGGAGAAGGTGGAATGAAGTGGAGGAGGACATGGCAATAAGGTTTGTAGAAAGTGAAGGCAGGGGATGACGGCAAGGGACGAACACAAATTCCAAGTAAGATAAGTTTCATATATCTTCCTTCCTGTTCCCTGCATGGTGGCCTGGCCAGGGTTTAAAGTGAACCCCAACCCCACCCGATAGGAAGATATAGTGAGTGGCTTTGTTCTAATAAGGGGTTACCAAATAGAGCTCAATTTTACTCCTTCTTACCCAGCAGGTCAGCTCCTCTCTATTTGCATCACATTTTCTTGTAGATGGCCGGACGATGTCACAGTAAGGGCAAGGGTTTCTGCCGCATGAATCTGCCAATGCCTCCAATGCATGTTTGCTGTGCACCAGGAATACAACCTACTACAGACTCCTGCCATTCACAGTGACTTGCGGAAATTAAACCTACGCTTGCTATTCAGCCAAATTTGTTATAAAACTTGCAAGTCATACCACACCCCCACTGGCACAACGCAGAGCGCGCGGCAGTTAGGTTGTTAGGGGGGAGCTAGCTGCGCAATTTCCCCAAGGTCAAGGGCAAGGGAAACAGCACCTGGAAGCTCAAGGTCTATACTATCTATAGGCCTTGCACACGTATTTCGCCAGCTTTACCAAGACCGTAGCCTAAAGCAAATTCCTTAGCCGGGCGAATTTTGTTAAACTAATTAATTCAAAAAATATATACCATTGTGGCGCCACCCACTGGTAGGCCTAGAATTATTCAAATAGAGTGAATATTGTTATTGTTTCGCATCGAGTAATAGCAGTGATATGCTATAATGAAAGGAAATTATGTTACATGGAATGGGTGAATTGGGGGATAGAAGGATGAGGCTCAATCAGAGTTGAATTATAATTAATATAATATATATTATAAAACAAAAACGGTTTTTATGAACTGTTGTCAGTGTTGATACACATATTAATTCCCAATCATATCCCAACATCTGTACGACCAAGCAGTTTACAATCATAATTAACTCTATATAATGATAGATGTTAACAGAAATGTTTTATCATATAATGATAATACAATACATTGTTAATATGTCATACCTGTATACGGATTCTTCTATTTCACACCCTAGTCGATGTGCACCACTGACTGGCAGGTTGCAAATGCTACCAAACACGTGTGAACATACACAGCACCATAGGTTCAATGTAATATTTCCTGCTCTGCATCTTTTGACGATTTGGCAACACTTAACGCACAGTGATTTGTCACCATGACTCACCGTTTTCCCACTACACAATAAACTTGCTCTCAACGCGGCCTTCATTGCGCAGTGTACCTACTCAGCAAACAGCACGCTTTTCTGCACACAGAAGAACCCTAGTTGGCAATTATAATCATATAAACGTACAATTAAAACATACACAAAGAAAGCAGCTATTTCAGAAGCACGTTTGCTGAGCGCTCACCGATTGCACAAGCTAACAGACCGTGCCAGAGGCACACGGTGCAGAGATGTATTGAACCGAATTTCAGTGCGTACCTTATTTATGTATTCAAATTGGCCTACGAGTCCTGGGTGTCATCAGGAGCGTATAATGACAAATATTTGTCATTATACGCTCCTGGGTGTCATGCATATAAATGCTGTGCAGTTTGAGTAGAGATCATAATTGTAGTACGGTAATATTAAACATTCACGTGGCTTAAGAAAGGCACAGAAATGAGATAAAACGCAACAGTTCGAGCGGTGTGTGCAAGTTACGCAACTCATACTTACATTGAGAGGAAGCATATAGAAAGTCAATAAAATAAGCAATGGGCAGCTCAGACGAATCAATAGCACTCCACCATTCAACACACACGCATGTTTTCAAGCTTACTTGTATTAGTGCACAGAGTGTATGATCATGGCACAGAAAGATATTTAGCAGCGTACAGAAATGCTACTCCAGATACATAAATGCAATATCATAGAAGTCTTGTCCATCCTCCTTCGTAGTTATTTTGTGGTTGACGTGTTTAATGAAGCGCAAAGTCTGCTTATCACAATAGACTAGTGCCAAGGAGTTTTCTTCCGGGTTGACAGTCATGAGCTGTATAAAGATGAAAAATACATCTTATATACTATGACAAGTTGAGATAGGTGGGGCAGTCCCATCAGTTTTAAACATACTGCTAGGGGAAGGTTTTACTGCATAATAGCACTCATTATGAACATTAGAGATGATGTCGCAGTTTTTCAGTTAAAAACTCAAAAGCTAAAAGCGATGGGGATTTGACTTAAATTACTTCTTCATCTTCGTCTTTTGCAATGTATGACGTAAATCCACCAAACTCCTGCTTCCACCCTATAAAGTAAATTGCATACATCGTCATTATTAGAGTGACATCTGTATCATGAAATCAAACAGCTCTAATATTCATGTCCTGATCAAGATTTTTGTTTTGTTAGATTCCCTAAACAAATATAATTGACGAAAAACTAAAATCGACCTGTTTAAAAAACAACCAGGTCAAAGTATTTTTTTCATTCATACAACATAGGAAACGGGTCAGAATCCTATATAATACCGTATGTGTGCGTGTCTACATCTTACCATCACATTTACAGAAAAAGAATGCATCCAGTGCAAAGTCGGCGTTTTCAGCTTCTGTATCCGTAAGCATTGTGTAGGAACCTTGTTGCCAATGCCTCAACTCTCCAAAGCATCGAGGACGAGACTCTGTTTTGTCTGTAATAAAATTACAATAAAAGTCCAACACACATTTCCATGCGTACATCCGTAACTGGCTGCACAAGTCCTTGAATTGATCTTTAATCCATTTTATAACCAACAGAAGGACCCTTATTGCCTTAGGTATCGCTTCGAACAAAGGATATTTTATTATGTAACAACCTTTTACAGCCTTTTCCTTCTCTTCATCCCTGCCACTGAGAAATGGAAAAAACAAAAAGAATTAAATAAATACGTTAAAAACCCGCGTATAAGAACCTGTATTTTTCCAAGTTAGCCTAAAAAGGCTCTTATATAATTGGTGTTTACTGGGAAATTAGGCTATTTAGGTTCTTAAATAGGTTCTTATTTTCTTAAGAAAAAGGTGCTTGTTGCTAGTAGAATATTGGTGCAGTCCAATATTTATAATAAATATGCATATAATTATGTCTAAATGACTGCAATCTAGACAAATACAAACCCTATTCTACGTTATCTTATTTATTTTTATGCCTTTTATACTTAATAAAGGTATATAGACCAACAAGATCTTGTTTTAGTTGATTTATGAATTTTAAAGTGTTAACTGAATTTGATCAAATAAGAACCTATTTAAAATTTTAGGCTAAAACAGGTTCTTATGTCAAGCAGTCAAGGGGGTCTAAATGGAAAATCTTAGCCTAACAGGTTCTTAATCACTAGGTTCTTATATGTGGGTTTTTACTCGATTATGTATAGACATCCCTGTCTTATTCTTTCTCTCTTGTCATATATACTGCTGCTATACTGCTGCTATAGAGCACTTTCTGAACAAATAAAGTTGATTAAATAAATTATATGCAGCAATTTTTTAACATACTATCAAATTCATTTACACAAATTATCAGTGTGTCTGTCAGTTATTCTAGTTCCGATCTCACGCCCACATAAACAATAATGATGATAACGTAGTGGTACTGATGTACTTCTACCCAAAACTACACATTTTATCACAACATCAATTAAATCTATTACCTGCCACCATCACTGTCATCATCACTGTTGGGGCATAGTTCGTGCAGAGACAAACCAGTCAGGTTACTCAGCGTAACAAACATAGCATCCGAGCGGAACAGCTGCAGGCACTGTCGCACAACTTCTGGCACACTACTCTCATCTGCCGACTCATAGTTCCTGTTGAAAGACATTAGGTACACTTAATACACAGTGAACATATCTATACGCATGTATCTATAAAGTAGTGATATGATACAGATATGTTTATGATAACAATAATAGCAACTTATACTTACAAAATATAATTTAAAAAAAACTTGGATGCAACACAGAGCATACTAAATACTTTGAGAAATGAGTTCAATGAGGATAATATCTAACAGTGAGATCCAACATATGTAGATGGTGAATGGATATTTATTTAGGATGCCTTTCCACCTATCACACGTATATAGACAATGCTAATATGTATATGCAATATGATTAAATGTTAATTAAAAACTCTAGTGTTAATGATTTTTTTGGTCAGAGTTTGTGTTCTGGTACAAACTTTGTGGAAAGCCACCTATGAAATCCATGCATAAACTATTGTGTTATTATGTGTCCATTAACATGTGTGAAACTGAAGCAATACAAACAAATTAAATCAGTATACCTTATATTTGCTGGGCCTCTTCTCTCCCAAGTTAACTCACTGCTTTGTATGGCAGTCAACAGCTCTTGGTATTTTTCATCCTTAGAAATATATAAAATATTGAATATTCTAGTTTATTTAGTTTTCATTTTTAGCCTTCTATCTATTAAAGAATTATGGGTTGGTTATAATAACAGCATTGCTTGCATTCACACCTTAAAATCACACAAACAGAGTAATCATACTCACTTTAAAAAATCTTGGAAGTTCAATCTCAGAGTCTGACTCAAAGGTTTCTCTCACTCGTAGCTGCGTTTCCATGTCCAGGTAATCTGGATTTAGCCAGTCATGTAATACATCCACCTAGTTGGATATGGAGATGATTATGAAGAAGGGCAACAATTTACCAACTAGAAACATTAGCTAGTTTTAGATATTCGTTATCTTCAAGTGCATGCATGCACGCTTATGTATTAAGGTGACACGTTAAATGTGTGGTTATAGAGATATAACCATGCTGTAATTCGGCTAATAAATATATATTCAATGTACCTACTTTCTACTTACATCCAATGAGATGTACGGGGCAAGTGATAGTGCCGGCTCAGTGTACTGTTCTGGTCGATCGATATTAGGCCCGTGAAACCAACCATTTACTGACAACCTGGTTTTATCCTCTGACAGCACCTCTGCAACCTACAATGGAGTAATGCAAAAATATTGTGATACTTACTTAGTGTGATACTTAGTGTGATACTTAGTGTGAAATTTACTTTGCTTTCTCCACTGAACGAAATGATAGCTAGTACTGGTAAGTATTACTACTATTCTGACTATGCAACACACTACCTTCTACTAACAGCAGTTATATTTTGGGCTGCCAGTTTCAGACAATTTAACAAGAGCCGCAGAGCGTCTGGGCTCATCTGAGGTCTGTTGCTACGATTATAAACGTAAAATTTCAGTCGTGCGTAGTACCACATTTGTTAGGCGCAGATATGCAGACACGCAGTTGCGTACACATCATTGTTAGGACACGCCCACTATCGCAGATGGAGGGTAGGGGGAGGGTGGAATCAATTCTAAGTTAGGCGATTTGTGACCTATCCTGAAAATTTTATGACAATCCGTCCATAACTTTTTCAGGCTGTACACAAACAAACCCACAAACCCACAAACCAACAAACACACGCCGGTTGGCATTTCTCGTGAGTGGGAGTCATACAGTGAAACTACCTAGAAGTCCTAGATCATGGTCAGTTGTATCTACTGTACAGAACATTTTTTTGAGGGAGGGTCTCTCTTACCTGGTGGTTATACAGCGAAACTATCTCTATGAAATTTTAGTTGTCTTTTTAATAGAACATTTTTGCAGGTTCCCATAGATGGTAGTTATATAGTGAAATCACCTCTATAAAACTTAAACCTGTTTATCATATTTTACGATGGGAGCTATAAGTTTTATGGGTAAAATTATTAGCTTGCTCTAGGGGGCTTTAGCCTTTAGTCGGAATGGATAACGCAACCGGGTATAAATAGCTGACGATGAAACGTTTTCTTTTCCAATCCTTTCATCGAAAAAGTGCAAGTCATATTCCTATATCCGGCAGCAGTGCCGGCTGTTTGCACCGTACACGTGCCTACAGCCCGGCGCACACGTAAACGTGAGTTATTTTATTCACGTGTGCGGCGGATTTTCGTTGAGTAATTTGACGCATGCGTCATTTTACTCACGTGTGCGGCGGATT